ACGCGAAAAGTCAAGAATGGTTATTGAGTACAAGTGGATTAAGTACAGGAGAATATTTGAATGGTCTGTTTTTTTTTCCGGTTACGATTAACTGCGCATCATTTTTTAAAAATTTTTTTAACTGAACGTATATTGACTTCTTTCTATTTTTTTATTATTTATATTAAAGGAACCGGATTTGGTTGTGTTTATCCTAACGGATATGGAATCAATTATTTACCCGGTAAAAAAATTATCAATTATCTTTTAAGCTCAACAAGAGGCACCAAAGGTTTTATTGATTCTGATATCTATTTAAAATTACCTATACAGGTGAACACTTATTTAAATTTGGGATTGAGTCAAAACATTCATCATCGGAAACAAATACCAAAGCATTTAGAGAAAGTTTATTGAAAGCATTAAGGGATATGAGGAAAGTATGTGAAGAAGTAAATGGTAAATACTCTGGACAAAATAAATTATAAATTATATAAATAAATTAAGGATCACTTTAATTTACTATTTAATGCATTTTTGAAGAAAAATTTAAATTATATTTGGTGTTCATAGTATCATGAAATCGGTTGTGAATATTTGCATGTGTTTATTGATCAGATTAATTATCTATGAAGTCAATGAGATGCAAATTGTAACCATTATTTTATAGAAAATTGTCAGGCATTAGTTTAAAGAATTCCATGTTATACACAATATTAAATGTCAATGGAGAGACAATATTTTTGGTTTATGAAAATACTTTGTATTGTTTATATGTCTTACGAACAGCAGATGAGCTAACCAATCATTAAATTTTATCAAATAATTGATTTATAAATACAATGTATATTATATGATATATTAAGATGATTACAAAAAAAACCACAAGAAGATTAAGACTTGGACGATTCTACTATAGACATATTATCTTTAATTGTATAATTGTTATATAAGCTGTATAAACTATATTTTATACTTTAAGTTTTCATCTCTGACTTAAATCAAGGATTGTGACTTCATGAAAAACATATTCAGGTTTTCCCTAATACTTATTTATTAGTTTTGCATTCATCTTATTTGCAATTCATTTTCATAGAGCTTCACTCATGTTCTTGATAATAAGAAAATCATACGAAGATCTCCAAAAATGATAACTTGATATTAAAAGAAGTTTTTATATTTGAAAAATAGGTTTTAATGGAGTAATAAAGGCTTTAAAAAGCAACTGTTTTTTTAAAAAGCTAATAACGAAATACACATTTAATTTATTCATATTCATGGATGTAATCAAATAAGTTAAATTTTAATTTAATTTCAGGTACGAAAAAAGGATGTTTTCTTCATTTCAAATATATATTTTTTAATTCTTAAAATATAGATTAAGATGAATATACAGTATAATAGTCGAAAACCTTCAAACTTTTGTAACAGATATCTAGGCTTCTTATAGACCATATTTCATAATAATAATTATTATCAGACAATAGTATGCAAATTTATGTTCAATTATATTCATATTAAAGGTTTTATCAGTGATAATTGTTATAATTTTTTCGCTGAAATCAAATATATTTGCTAGTTTAACACTCACTCATTTTTTATAATGAAGCACCAAATATTCGCGATGCTATTAGTATTATTAAAATATGTCTAATTAATTTTGCAACTTTATTTGCATGCATTTTGTTGTGACATATGATTTGACAAAAGTCACGTTTATCATTCAATATTATAACTGTATGGGCTTCTAACATAGATTAATGAAATCTTTGTCCATGTTCTACAATATGAGAAATAGTGCCAAACATGAACCGTATATTCTTATTATTATTAATAAATTCTATATTATTTTTGGTCATTTATATTTTATTTGTTTAAAATGCAAAGAGAATATAATTTTTTATAGAAAAAAAAATAACAATAGCTTGCGTTTTATCATAAACAATGAAACTTCTAAGGTTGGTAGGTTTAACTTCTATTGTTAACGAAAAATGAATTTACTAACTGATTTATTTTAACACTAAAAATAGATTTTACTATCAAAGATGTTAATTTGATATTCACGTTGTTTCCTTCATAATGTTGAAATCAAAAAAATTGAATCTTTTGGAAGGCTTATTATTATTTTATAATAGTTCTAATCCTAATTTACCTAAAGATTAAAATGATTGATTGGTATTACCTGATGCCGTGAATTTACTCTCGAACAAACGTACACCTTAGGTTTAAATGGTTGATATTGATTTATAGAAAGATTATAAGTTTAGTATATTTTTTAATTCTTTTTAATTTTTTTAGCATCCAGGTCTGATTCCATGCTTTTGTCTTATAGAAAAGTTTAAACGGGATTGTATTATTCAATCTATAAATTTCTTTTATCACAACCACCAGCACGTTGCATATCATCAGTGTTTTATTTATAATAGAACCAAATATCCTGTTGTACCTCCGATAAAACATCTTATCGAAAAACATAATAAGACAACTGAGTTCGGGGGTGCTTGGTTCAATTAGCGTACAAATGAATGCAGGAGCTTTCATAAATTAAAAAACCCATGATTTCAAGATATAACGCATTACTCTTTCTTATAATATGCGCCTTAAAAGAATTTGCATTATTCGATCAATTCAATACACCACTAAAAATACAATTTTTTTTTTATAAAGAAGTAGTAAGCAAGCGGCATTCATATAACACATGAACAAAAAATATATGAAAATTTGTATACCATATTATTGTCTTCACGTCCATCTCCATTACAAGAAACCTCTTGAGTTCCATCATCCATTAGAATATCATGACTGTAGAGTGGTAGATTAGTACCTTGATGAAAAAGGTTAATAATATCACCGTCCATTAAATGGTCTAAATCGACTTTAGAACTATGATGCCGAATAATCCAATAATCGTCCGGATGTCCGTGCATATAAAGGGTCACTAAAATATTTAAAGGAGCAGCTGTAATTATGCAAACTGTGGTTATGGTTTTGCTTAAAATATACCTTGCTGATGATTTGATTTTGGGGTTGTCCCGTGTACTGTAAAATGGGAATGCAAATTTCCACCTGTTTCTTTATGTTTAAATCCGATATTGTTACAAGTAGATAAAGGAACTCCAACATTCAAATCACAAATTGTCCAAAGGTCGTGTTCAAAATCTAATTCTTTGCCGGTACAAACGACCTTTGTGGATCAAATTAATAGTTGGTATAAGTGATAAAGGGAATTAAAAGTTTTAATAACAACTTACAATATATTGTTCATGTTTTGGATATTTGACCCCTTTAGTAGATAAGTATTTTCTAGTAGGTACGTGAAATAACGCGATAGTTGATCCATATTTAATCGGTTTCCTAATTAATTCGATACGCCACTGCAAGGTAGAATTGAAATTAAAGTCTAATGAGAAAAAATACGAAACATCAACTTTGTTAAAATATCATGCCTTAATATTCTCCTCATCACCATTTCCATGGCAAGAAACTTCTTGAGCTCCATCGTCTAATAGAACTTCATGGCTGTAGAGCGGTTGATTGGTATTTTTATGAAAGAGACTAATAATATCACCACTCATTAAATGAGCCGAGTCGTTATCATCGATGATGGGGTTATAGCATTGAAGAAGCCAATCATCATAATTATCTTTATATAGCGTAATGGTCGCTAAGCGTTAAATTAATGACCGTTAGTTTTAAATTCTATAGAAAGAGGATGTGTAAATTAGTTTAAAGAGATACCCTGTTGATGATTTGATTTTTGACTTCCACCCCATTCTGCATGATGAGAATGTAAGTTTCCTCCCGTATCTTGATGCATAAGTCCAAAAACGGTACTTGAGGATAAAAGGCCTCCATTTTTTACATTTACTTCAAATGCACCTATAATTTTCCAGGCATCATTTTTTGAGTCGATGTTTTGACCAGTACAGACAGCCTTAAATAAACTTATATGTATTAATATGTAACATTAACTAATTATAAAAATTAATAATAATAAATACCGCATATTGTCCGTGGATGGGTAATGGGACTTTTTTAGTAGATAAGTATTTCCCGGTGGACATATGAACAAGGGAAACCTCTGATCCATATTTAA